GAATGCCATCATCTTTGTGTCCTACACGTAATCTAGGTTGAAGGGGAGGAACTCATGACTGCTTGTGTTTTTTCTGGGTTTTGTTTTTTTTCACTCCCAACAGAATCACAACTACTTTGCCATGATAGAGATGGCTTTCACAGATGAGAAAACAAGTGCTCAACAGATTTTTAAAAAAGGACTGGCTGTTCCTCAGTCTGCTCACACCTTCCCATGGATTGCAGAGGTGGGCGTGCAAACTGAGGACGCGCTGCAGCGTTCCGGCGCTGAAAGGTTGTTGAAGAATGCCTCGCCAAAGGGCAGCTTTGCAAAATACCCGGACCCACTGAAGCCAAGACCAGATGAAGCGCCAGTTCTGTGATGCTTACTACGGTGCCAAACACTTTATATGGCTTCTTTCTCCTCTTCCTCCCCCTCTTTACAGTAATGACCTCTACTTGCAATTTGGGAGAAATATGGCAGTTCTTCCACTGTGTCCTGGTGTCTGCTCAGCCAGGAGTTAACATAATTTTAAAAAAAAAAAAAAAAAGAAAAAAACCAAGAAAAAAGCATTGCCATGTGTAGCTGCCCTGGGGACAGCGTAAATCCTGAGGCAGGCAGAGTGTGACAACTTGCTAAGTGGCCAGCGGGGACCTGCCGTGGCTCATGCAGATGAAGGCAGGGTGGTTGGGGAACGTCTGGCTGTCACCCAAATGTCTGCTGTTACATGCCCAAGGGCTTACTGAGGCTACCAGGCTGGCAGGCGTGGGCGCTGCCGGGGCCCGTGCCCACGAGGCACGGTGGCAATACCCAGCGTGACATTGCCCACGTACTACCTGTTCCTCTGGGGACTCTAGCACTGACACCAGATTGACAACAGCAGTCTGCTACTTCCAGCTCTTTCCTCTTCATTTTAATCATAAATGCTGCTGCTTCAACGGCCGCCTTCCCTTCCATGCTGAACCTCTGAGCTAACGCTGCCAGGGCAGGTGTGGGATCCGTGCTGGGAACGGGAGGGGGTGCTTGCTCTTCAAAACAGCTATGCTGCAGAGCCCGTTCCTAATGCAAAGTGGCTGTAGTGAAAAGCCTAGAGTTTTGTTTTTCCCTTTTTAAAGCTGCGATGCAGTGTTGTTAGGGTGCGTGCGTATGCGAGTGAACTAAACGACACGAACCTCAGGTTTTCATGAAAATAGCCCCAAAGCAGTGTATTCCCAGCTAGTACGTAAGTGCTCTGGCTTTGCTGCGCTGAGCTGGTAACGTGGCACATTAAAGGCTTCCACTACTGATGAACTTGCATCTAAAGCAACCGTGATACAGGGCTCACTGTCTGTATTTCTTTGGCAATCATTACCTGGTCAGGAAGCGTATCACATCAGAGGCATGCTGCCTCAAAAATGAGGCACCAGAAACCAGCTGGTTTTTTACCTTCCTTTGTAGCATCTTCCATCCTACAACAGCCAATTCTTATTTAATAGCTAATAATCCATAGCACTGCAAGGATGGCCGCAGATGAGAATGAAACGCTTCCGCTTGTCTCTGATGGAGAGCAAATCCGTGAGGTATTGAGTACCACCGCTAAGCGTAAATGGAGTGTGTTAACCTCACTGCCAGTGTTGTTTGGCAGGCTGGATGCTAGAAGAACCCCACAGTCCTCTTCCTTTACTCCTGCGACCAGAGGATTGCGGCGGAGGCCTGAGAAGAGGCAGGAGTGTTGGCACTGTGCAGCATTGGCCATTAAACGCTCGTGTGCGAGAAGCTTCGCGACCCACGATCAGTAAAGGGCAATGTTAAGCATGGCATCGGGGGAGGTAGAGAGGGAGCACAGAAGAGTAGGTAGGTACGAGGAAGACAGCAAGAAAGGAAAAAAAATAATAACAGAAATAACAACACTGTAGTAAAAAAACTTTGGCCTCTCTGTTCCAACTGTCAAAGCAAAATAGCTATTGTGGAAGAAAAAAGGTGTCCTGAAGTAATAATCTGGAACTTCTTACAGTAAGTTTGCTACAGTGCTTTGGGCCAGTGGCCCAAAACATGGCATAATAGTTTCTTGTTAGAGCTGGAAGGGAATCCTAGACAATGTTTGCCCCAGCTTGCTGGCGTTATGCTAGTTAAGGGCTTGATTCTGGGAGGTGCTGGCCAAAGTTCAGAAAAGCACTTACATGTGTTCAGCTTCCATTAAGCTTGTCAGACGTGTTCCTGAATGCAGTGAGGCTGTTTTGCACGTTTACTTAGTGTTAAGCACACGCTCAAGTTGGCAGGTAAACCAGGCCCAGAGTGACCAGCTCTCTGAGCTCTACTTGGTCAGTTTGTGTGTTAAACCACTATAATAAAAATAAATTAAAACCAAACCAGAACACCCCTGGATTGCTGTCCTTACGCCTCAGCTTTGGGTACCGGTGACAAGTCCCACCATCCAAACCGATGCACCAGACTTCTTTTGTTAGGCCAGGGAACACAGTCTGTCATGCTTTTCTCAGAATGAGTTTAGGATCAGTTCTTGAAACGCCCGATACAGAGATGCTAGATACCCCTCATCGACCCCCTCTCCCCACCCCGTCCCTCTTGCCGTGTGTCCCTCTGCAGAGCGGGTGGGAATCCCAGCCTTTCTCACTGCCGGGCGCGCGTCGGCTCTCACACAATCACGAAGCTTGGGTGTAAAAACAAACCGCAAGCTGAGCGAATGCCATGCAATGACCATGAAGAGATGGGGTTTTGCTTGCTTGTCCTCAACATTCTTGTCGCTTACTGCTGATGGGTTCACAACTGGGTTTAGAAAGAGATGAAAAATAAACAGTTGCTAGAACTGAACCAGCTTTCAGTAGGGAGTCCTGTTCTTTACAGGTGATGCCTTTTTTCTGCTTGGGAGCCGAACAATGCCTAGCAACTGGCCATAAACTTCTCCAGGGAAAGAAATACCTTTCCAGTCAGATGATATTCACGGATGGACTGGCCCGGAGAGGAGTTTTGCTCCTTCACCATCCTCATAAGGTGCTCGCAGCCTGAAAGGAGTGTTTGGTATAAGTGCTTGAGAACCGTAGGCGCCGGTCTTTTGGAGGCTTCACCCAGGCCAGTGATTCCCTGAACACCATCTCAGGGCTCTCGAATTGATGACAGAGGCTTGTCAGGATGCAGGGTGCCTGAAGACAAAATAGATGCACCACCAGCTGGACTTGAACATGTATGGCAAATCCACATGCCAGCAAAGTCTTATACATAGATGCCAAGTCTTGGCACGATTCCCACCAGGGGTATTTTCTGTTATTGAAGCTTGAACCAGCAGGTCTGATGCTGCTGCAGTACCCATCACATGTAAATACAATTTTCCTTTTGTTATATTTATTTTTCTACACTTTTTTTTTTTTAAAAAGGCAGTTCAGAAGATTTACATTGTACGTATCAGGGAAGTGAATAATACCAGCACTTATGGTTCCTTTTAGTTATGTTTTGAAGACGGCATAGTAGTCAGGTAGAATTGAACTGCTACGGTCTATGAAACCTAAAACCCAAGGGGAAAAGAAAAAAGAGAAATAGTAAGATAATATCCTCTATTACACATTGTACATAAAAAATTTGGAGGACTAATTGCTACAGTGACACAATTAGGCAGCTCGATTCCTGCAGCATTGACATCAGCCACGCTGGCACTGCGGACCCACAACAGGCACCCACACTTTCTTGGTCCTGGCCAGACTCACAGTTCACAGGCATAAGCTGTTTGCACCAAAATCTACCAAAGACACCACTATTATGCTTTGGCTCCATCCTCTCAGATCCCTGAGAGAGTTATTTTGGATCAGCTAGTCTGCTCTTTCAAGCCACACCATGCCTGATTTCACAAAAATTGTCTGGTTTAGGCAAACCTTATGCTCTTCAGCCAGGAAGATTTACATACAGTTCAAGTATGATTATTCCTTAATGTCTGAGGCTAAAAAGACAAGTAGAGTTAAAATGTCCACCCTTTCTGCAAGTACACTCTGCGTCAGGAGGTCTGGGTTTGTCAGTTCTGCAAAGGTTTGGGTTTTTTTTAAGCTTTGATTTTTCACTCTATCATGAATTAATTAATGTGTCCCACTAGTAAAGCAACACACATTCTTTGCTCAGCTCTTGCCACTGCTTAATGACATGAATAGCTCATTACCTTGCTAATGATTTTATAATGGTGATTTATCTAAGTTAGTTTAAGGGAATTACTCTATTTTTGTGCATGCCACTTCCTTCAAGTGCACATTTCCTGAAGCCACTTGTGTAACCAGTAAGTCCGGCTGAACGTCAGACAAACCCTTAGCTATACCTCTGAGCATGCCTGGCCCAGACTTACTGAGTCAAAGCCACTCGGTGGCTTTCAAAACCAAACTGAGTCACCTCAAGAGGGTCACTGCTCACCCCAACACTGGAAGAGAAGCAAAATACTGCCCAGAAACCTGCGAAAGAAACACACCTGTGTTTGTGTGATGCTTAAAGGCCTCATGGAAATCAAGGGAGCTTTCGATGGAGCTCCACTCCTTGTAGCAACACCCCCCTTTAAAACAGCCTCATCCTTTCTAAATTTGTCATCATTGCTCTCCTGGAGGAGTAAGCCAAATGTCCCTCAAAGGCTCAGTCACCGGGGCCAACAGATCTAGGCCAACTGCACACCCTCCAGCTTCTTCCAGACCTCGTGGCTCAAAGGCAGCTGGCTTGTCTCCAGCAGCACTTTGTTACTACAAACCCCAGTGCAACCATCCTAGCGCATGCTTGGAAGTAGAAGGGAGATCGTTTCTGCAAGGAAGTATATGCATAATACATGTGGTGAATTTTAATATAATTATTAATTTATACACATAAAAATCCCCTAATACAAAATTAATTTTGCCTTAAGCTTTTCTGTATCTTTCTTAAAAGTATTAACTGCATTTTTCATGAGCACCTAGCTGATGAATGTATTAATACAAGGACAGCTCCAGTTTTGCACCAGATCCCACTCTCGCTTGTCTTCAATACCTAACGCTTGTCTTTAATGGCTGACAACGAGTGTGGGTTAATGTTGATTTGCAAAGGCCTGACTTCAGCTGAAATGCCTGGAGTTCAGCTCAGCTCAGCATCAAAGCCCAAGCAGACTCAGCACAGGCTGTGTGAGGGGACGTGCCCTGACCTCCCAGCGTGCCTCGACCGTAGCCTGCCAGAGAGGAGGGTTGTGAGTTTGGGGTCATGGATAATTCATTCAGTCTCTAGCTTTTTAAGTAAAAAAAAAAAAAAAAAAAAAGCCTAACAGTGTAAAAAAATAGTGCCAGTCTTATAACGCCGATCTTGCTATTTCCCCACTGCATCGCCTACGGCAGGATGTGGAGGGCAGGACTGAGAGATCTGTGCGTGGGACGAGCGTGGCGTGGAACAGCTGTACACTCAGCGGGGTTTGAGCGTGCACTCATTCATACCTTGCTATGCACTGGCTCTGCAAGAGCTACCTGTCCTCCTTCAGACACCAACACTACTTACTTTTGATATCAGAAGAACAGACATGCAGCTACAGCATGAGGATTTAAAAAATAAAATGAAAGGAGGTTACACTTTATTAAACAGATGGCACATGCCTGCATACCGCCATGTAATAAGGCAGCATGAGTTCGTCTGTGCGAGTTTCTTTTACAGCCTGTAATTCTAAATGTTGTTTAGACCTCATGGTGTGTTCAGTGGGTATCGGAGAAACAGCTGCTGGGTTGTGGTTTTTTTTTTTTTTAAAGCAACAGTATTCATTGATAGTCTTAAAAAATTAATCTCAGCTTACCTTGTTAGATGTCTACTTAATTCATGAACTTCCATTTCAGTGCTTTTAAATTCATTAAGCTCTTTTCGAATGGCTGCCTGCAAAGGACAAATAAACTCATAAACGTATAAATGAGAGAGATCAAAATAAGTTCACTTTGTTCTCAAAACAGTATATTAAAAGTGAAGCAGATATAGATAACATTATCAGAGAGACAAAATCATAAAAAAGACTTTAAAATGTGAAAAGGAGCAGAGATAAACATGTTCTAAATCACATAAAAGGAAGAGATAAATGCTGTGTTGGAATGGCTCAATTTGAAAACATTGTAGACAATGCAGATACGGAACCCAATTCTGGCTTATTATGTAAACACTTTCATCTACAAAATCCAAATTAGCATAAGCATGAGTAAAAAAAAGTGCACCAGAGTTTCTCAAACACTGCGATCTGTTTCAGAGCTGGACTGCGAGTAAACTGGGCCCAGATCCTGCCAGACTCATGTTTGAGATGTCTCCCGCCTTTACCAGTCCTGAATTTCCCTGGACAAAGTTATCTAAAGTGGCTGAGCTGACTTGGGAGGGAAAGAGGGATGCCTGGCTCCCTGCCCTCTTCTCTGCCTCGGGCTGTGCCCCTCTGCCCTCCTCCTCCCTTCTGACCCGGCTGTGCCATTTACTGAACCGATTCAAGGCACTAGTCCAGCAGGGAACTAGCCACAGGAGACCTACTGACCTACAGCCTCTGTGGTTTCTCCATGAGGGAAAAGAAAATGAGGCAGGAAGAGAAATATTGAAGAATTAAAAAAAAAAAAAAAGAAGGGGTGACTTGGAGGGACTCAGCTTCATGTTGGAGAGGGGGCTCAGCAGAGCTGGCTCAAGTCCCAAGCCCCAAAGTCAAGACTTCTGACAGCCCTGTGATATTTGTAGCTCACAAGTGGGTTTCGCTGTGAGCATACGGAGATGTGCAAGGCGGCTGCTGCAGCCCAACAGTCCCGCGAGTCCAAGGTGCGTGCCGCTGCCTTTCCCTCTGATGCTGGAATCAGCACCAGCGGCTGTTCCAGTCAGTGGTACCCGTGTCTGCCAGGAATTCTTCTCCATGAAGGAAATCTAAACTAGTAGGAACAGCACGAGCCTGGAACAGGGCTTTTGCAACAGCCGCTGATCCAGTCACCAACTCCCTTTGCCTTGACAAGCCCTAAATGACACTTTGCGAGTGTGATCTACAGAACAGGCCCCTTGTGCTCTTTCTGCCCAGCTTTGGTTTTTTTATTTACCTTGGAACTGTCAGGCTCTGCCTCCAGCTATCAGGACAGAGCGATGGCTGTGCAGCAACTCAAGGGCCTACCTTCAGCAGACCAATTTGCTGCTTAAGTGACTGTGAAGGAGCCACGCGGGCTGCCGACTCCCACAAGGTCTGAAATCTGTTCCTCCCTGCATCCCTCATCTGTTGGAGAGCTTTAAGAGTGCCCTTTTTATTCCTGTAACAGTCAGACCGTGTAAAGGTGAAGTAAGACTGAATGGAGTTCCCTACATCCAGCACACAAAACAAGATTTACTGACAAACAGAGAAGTCCGTTACTAAAATCTATTTTTGCAATAAATCTAGCCTGATTTAACCAATGAAGACGGTTATTGAATCAAAGCTCTGGAAGAAAATAATCTTTTATAGGATGTTGCAACTTTGTCAGACATTTTAGAGTTGTTTCCTATTTGTCTGGCTATTTTTTCCAACAGTGGACACAGTGGTGGGGAAAAGCCGGTCACCTGAATGGCAGAAATCAGAATACTGCCCGTATGAGCCAAACCCAAAAAATAATGTATCTGCTTCCTTATGCCATAGGGGGCATTAATATTAGAATGACTAAACATTTTGTTTTCTCCTGCTTTGCTTAGAAAAGGTTCACTTGGAGAACCTAAACCCTTTGCTCTGTGTATTGACTTTGCACATGCATTATAAAAAAGAAAAAAGTGACCTCAAAGTATTTTGCCTTAATACCAAGTTCTTTACCGGGCTACATTTAATAGTGGTATTTAGTACTTGTTTTTTTCACAGACACAGGATGAGGAAGGACCTCTTTGGACAGCAAATCTGAAGTCTTTCATCCCAGACAGGGATCTCTCAAAGGCTGCAGAACCAGTCGTGGCTTTATTCCTTCCCTCATCTACCAACTTGGAGAATATAACTAAGCCAGTTGAATAAAATCTTGTCCAACATGGTGAGGTAAAATGGGAAAATCTAATCTGAGCCAGTATATTATGGTCTGTGGACAGTCCAGAGGAAGTTTTTCTTTTTTTTTTTTTTTTTTTCCAGATCATTTTATGCTACATTAACTTATCCAAAGCTAAACTGAAAAAGCCCTCTGTCAAGGAGAAAACCAGTGGTCATAAAACCATACAAATCCTTTGGTGAAATTATACAAGTAGAATGGGCTGCCCTTCACCTCTGTGAATAAAACCAAGAGCACCATGAATGAGCAGCATGGCCAGGAATCCTGCTCCTGCTCTAAACACTGGACACAATCGTCTCCATCAAAGAAAGTTGGGTACTTGAAAGTCTTTAAACTTACATGGGCATCATGGAGTGACGAAAGCACGGGAGTCACTGATCAGCCTCATAGTCCTCTTTTCTTACAGTGGCCATAAAACATTGAAGTCTTCTTGCTGAGGCACCATTAAGACCCTCAGGATAATGACTGTTATCATTTGCCAGCAATTTAACTCCTCTGCCACCAAAGACACCACTTAGTGAAGGCCCCACGGGTGCTCAAGAGGACAGTGCACTCGATACCAAATATACAGCTTTTCTTCATCTGCAGGGCTCATGCGATTTCAGTTTAGGGCTTAAAATACTCTGTGGAACGGGGCAGAAATCCTGAGTAAACACCCCTGTCGTAACACACTAGAGAGGAGTTACCTGGTTCAGTGGGAGGTGCTTTTGCCAGTTATTTGATCTACCTGCTGCCATTTTTGCACCTAAGCCTGCTCCGTCCTGGCACAGCAATTCTGGCAAGTGCTGCTGTCACGCTGCTCTGCGAGGTCATGCAGGAGCTCTCAGCTGGCAGCATTATGTGGCAAGAAACAAGTAACAGGGTTTTGAGGGACCCGAGGGATGCCGTTAGCCACGACATGCTCCAGCTATTCAGATCATGGCTCTCCCAAAGTTGCTGCACTTACTTTGTCGGCGGCTGTGAGCCGTGTCCAGGGTTTGTCCGCCCTCCTGTCGTAATCCTGCGCATCTGCCACTTCTACGTAGTCACTGAAGCGGATGAGGATCTTCCTCTCACGTAGCTCTTCTACTGTGGGCCTTTGACTGAGCTGCAGGTTTGAGGAAGGAGTGGAAAAAGACATGAGGACTTCACTTTTTTCCCTGCAGAGTGCTGGTTGGGGATTTATTTTCTACAACCATCGTTATAATAATAAGAGGGTTCAGATGTTCCCAGCACCATTGCTTTTATCAACCTTTCATGGAATTGCTACTTGGGAGATAACCTTTTGTTACAGCCCCTTGAATATCATCCCACTTGCCACCAGAGCAGCACACTGTTGTTTGGGACGCAGCTGTGGCTGGAGACCCCAATCCCTGGCTGAGGTTGATCGCCCCTGGCAGAAATGAGATGTAATGCAAGAAAGTCTCCTAGTGCACCCATGTCTGGGGAAGAGACGAAGACCACAGCACAACTTTAAAACTACCTGCACGGGCTGTACGCTCCCCAGCCTCGAGCTGCGGTGTGTGCCTGGAAAGAGGCTGGCAAAGGCACTGAGTGGCTCCTGCCCTAAATTATGTGCAAAAGGGACTTTCCTTACCATTCTGATATTCTGCAGACTTGTCCTTACCTCCAGAAAAGGCAGGCAGGGTGATGATGACTATTGCTCATTGAACTTCTCACTGTGTGCTGCAGCTTAAGTTTGTGTCACAGCGTATTTGACTTTTAACAGTTTACATCGCATGCTACAGGCCAAGAAAAAAATAACTGCAAGGATGGATTGTATCATGTCGAGGAAACATCTTCATTGTTCCAAAGCATTTCTTTCAAATTCCACAGCAGAACAGGCAGCCACAGTCAAAACTCTCCGTTCAAATTAGAACCAGTACACTGCCATGTAATGCCCTTGCCTAGGACAGCTGGCATCAGTCAAGTCGCAGCTTGGCAGTTCACGTGTTGTCCCCATAGCCATTTTAGGGTAAATTACAACATTTAATAGGGGAAAAACTCTTTGCTGGTTTGAAAAAGAGCAACTCTGAAACTTCTGAATATTGCAAAGATCTTAAAACTAGACAGTTTTCTCACACCCACCTTCTTCTATGGGAGGCATGAAGTCTCCTGGGGCGAGCTTCTCTGCGTCTGTTTGTCACACAACATTTATAAGCTTCCTCTTGTTTCTTCCAAGAGTTTCCCAAGAAAAATCCCATTTTATATACCCACTTTCAGGCCAGCCATGCTCACATCAGCCAAAGAGCATGTATGCAGTGAGGTTAGCAAGCAGCATGACTTTCTGAACTCAGACTACAGGTTTTGGGGATCCTTTTTTAAAAACTGGAATGCATGCATAGTAGGCATAACCTTTTTTTTTTCCCTCTTTTCTTTTAGACAACAGGACAAACCTATCTGTGAGCTTGAGTACCATGTCAGAAAAGCCAGAGAGCACAATAAGGTAGATTGAAACATATAGATTTAAAAATGTTATTTTTCACTCCAGCAGAACAGAATTGCCTCTTCAGCCTGCAGCCCTGATACCTCTGCCTAAGTGACCTGCAAGCCAAATACACGGGCTTTTACCAAAAGCAAGCAAACCAAACTACTATACCATGCTTGGATCACAGTTACGCTATGAGTGAGGCTTCTCTCTGTCCTACAGCTCATCTTGAACGTGATTTCAAATTGCTAGGTTTTTCTAGCAGCCTTAGCGCTAGGAGCTGCAGGTTTGTTAGCACTGATGCATTATTACTTAGATAGCACAGCAGAATTTTGCTTCCGGTTATTTAAAAATCTAAGCCCTGACTATGGGAATAAAGAATCTTTATGCTGAAATAATATTACGACTACACCCCAAAATGTCAAAGATAAGGGTGAGACTCCATCTTTACTTGCATCAACTGATTTTTTTCTCACGACAGCGTGAATTAAGGAGGAACCACCAATATTATCTATACATTTCTCAGCTTTTATCATTTTAGGATGTAGCCTAGATGTTGTTTCAAATTAGGATGGAGTTTTTTTAAAAAATAAAATGTCTTATTACATGGACTATGACGACACCAACAAAATCTGAAATCCTGTGAATTAAAATCTGTGTTTCTAAATGGCTACAAGGGAAGCAGGAGCTCCTACAAGCTTTCCAAGCTGGAAGAGGACTTTCACAAAATGACTGGCTCTATGTCACAGCTTCTGTCAGCTCTTGCCATTAGCCGGCTTTTACGTTGGTGCTAATCTAAGTGATTAGCAAGTTTGTACACAGGAGAAGGCAGGTGCCTGTTGATAGACGGAAACGTGCTCTGCCAGGCTGATGTCTAGGTGGTGTCAAGAGCACAAGAGCACCAAAAGCCACAGAGGCAGCGGCACTTTTGCCAGCAATGTGAATTCACTGCTGGTATTTACCTCAATGCTGCGCTGGGTCTTAAACAGTTAATTTGGCTTCCTCGGTGCGCTGGGTGCCGGTTAAAATCAAACAACAGTAAATGTTAAGGGCCACATGATGAAATGAGACAAATCTGAGGTAAGTTCGCATGTTTGCAAGTGCACAAAAAACAAATTAGGTACATCACCCGCACATGTTACAGCGCTGAAACTCACTGTAACCCTTTGGTGGGTGTGAAGAACAGTGCACTGAGTTAGACATGAAAAATGTCAAGGGCATAAGCACATATGGAACTTTGGTGTTAACGTGCATTTTTCATTCTCAGGTGACACCTGAACGTAAGACAGACTAAAAGGTGTTGCTTCTCTTCCTCTGAAGTCATACAACTATTACTGCATATTATTTTCAGATGCCCTGCCTTTGCTTCAGAAACCTAGAACCAGTGCAATTTCAGGTACTGATACACCCCACCAGAGCGGTGGGCAATGTCTCCAAACCCACAGAGCAGTTGGAGCAAGTGAACCACAGACACCGAGCAACCAGCTCAAGGTGACCCAGGAGGCCCGGAGCAAAGCTATGAACACAAAAAAGATGCACTGAGTCTCGTATGCCAGTGCTCCGGCTGTGAAAGAGAGTCCTGAAATCCACATAGTTCATGTATAGCCATAAATCTACATATATTTACATATATAAATGCACACACAAAATATATTCAGTACATTAAACCCAAGTGCCAATCTGATCACACTAAATGAAGAGAGAGGGACAACCACACTGAGTGGTTTTCTACAAGCAATTAATTAAAATTGAATGGTTAACAAACTGCCCTGCCTCTTTCTTAGGCCACTGCAGGGATTTCTTGTGAGCTGCAAAGCATGAGGGTCTCTCAGCATGTCTGGGCTACTCCGAGCACCCTTAACTCTTAAAGAGCTGGGAAAATAGCTTTGCTAACAGACTCTGAGTGGCTCCACTGCAGGTGTCAGTTCAACGTCTGTTCACGGTAAGAGCACAGCTCACCTGAGATCTCACCTTGGAGTTTATTTTTATGACCTGCAAGGTGCGGTCTCTTGGTTCAAGATTACTTAATGTTACACAGTCCTTCCTGGGCAATACCTAAGAACGAGCTCTGCTTCTTCTAACAGGCAGAGAGAATAGAGTGCGTTCAAAAGTTACAGTAAAAGGACATGGTCGAGGACATGACGCAATTGCTTGCACAAAGCAGTGGTGCTCTATGTGGGGAGAAAGGGACCTCACTCACTGAGCTGGACTCTTTTTTACTTACTTCTGCTAATGTCAGAGGGATGTGCGTGTGTGGGTCTGGACTTTTTCTGGGTGTACCTCCTGGGCATAGACATTTCTATTTCTTTATTGGTGAAGATTTCTGAGCTGAGGGAGAAGGACAACTTTATGGTAAGTGACCTCATTAATTGAGTGTGAACCAAACCAAAAACCCCTTTTGAAGTAAATGTATTTGTACTAATGGAAAAGCAGAGGACAGGACCTCCCATGTCTTGTCAAGTTTTCCTCTGTATATTCTGGATCACTGGAGATAAAAATGGGCATGTTTCAAGCTTTGATACTAAGCTGATTTGCAAGGGAAGGTTTAACACAACCCCCTTTGTTCTTGGCATGGGAAACGAAGCAAACCCAAGCACTGCCACCAGGTAAAGTGGAAGGGGACGTACTCTTGCCAGTCTGGTCTTGGAAAATGCTGACTTTGCTCCGCTTCAGTCACAGTGAAGCTTGTAGTCTTGTCACTTCATTGTTGCCTGCTTTGTTACTTTTGTTATGGTCATTATTTAGGGAAGAAAGCATAGTGAAAAATTACAGATCTTAACTAGCAGTGCACACAACCCCCTTTCTCCTTTGCTCCGCAACCTTTGTGGTAAGACATAGGAGCAGGATGTGATGGAAATGCCCCGAAGACCTTTCCCTCTGACTATAAATGCAGTTTATCCAAATTAGCCAGTAACCTTTTTTTCTTTTCTGACCTTTTTCCCCCCACCTTCCTCTCACCTCCCTCTGATGAGTCGCACCTCTCTCAAGAGTTCATTATTTTGAACAGCCTGTGCTGATGCAAGCCAGTGGAGGTCAATTAAAGAAAAGATTGATCAGCAAGACATTTCCCAGTGAGGCACCAGCTTGCTCTCCAATGAACAGGGAGTTTAACTTGTACTGGGGCAGGAATTTAATGGGAGCAAAGATTTCAGATTATTGCATGGATTTTAAGAAAGAGCCACACCTCATCACTTTGGTTGTCCTTATTACTGCTACAAGATGTTTTAGTTTTGGAGCTAGACTGCCGGGAAAAATTAGCTATTGACAGTGGGGGATAGGAAGCAGTAAACAGCTCAGGGGAACAGGGAGCATGATGCTATTTGAGAGATGGGAAGGTAGGAAAAAAAGAGTTTTATTCCTCCTTGCAAGTGATTTGTAATGTGTTCTGTCAATCCAGGCTACGACTCTCTCTCTGTAATCGAACTCCTCAGGGGAGTTCAGGCTTGTGTTAATTGCTTTGCTGCTCAGCCAAATTCACTGCCATCCAGAGAGGATAAATGTTTAGTAGTAATTCCTGGGGGCCCAGAATTACCTCCTCGTGGAGGGGACCCTCCTGCAACACTTCTCCCAGAGGGCCTCTGCACGTTAATATTCCTGGAATGGGATTGCGGGCCAAGACCATTGCTCAGAGAAATCTTCCCTCCTAATCCACGCGTCCCTCCACTCAAAGCAAGCTGCTCGGTGGGCGCCGTGGGGCAGGGAGAGGGAGCGCAGAGGTAGCTGGGTGTGCAGAACCCACCCATGGGCATCTCAGGTGACAGGTGAATGCACTTCACCTCTCCCTCCTCGGGCAGGAGGGACACGAGCTAACAGAGAAACTGTACCAAGCAGCATTTGCCTCCTTTTTGTTCTTTGAATGGCAGCTATTCCCTATCCCCAGTTAATTTGGAGTTAGATGAGTCTGAGGGGATGAAAAGTGCTTAAAGGGGTAGCTCGCTATAGGTCACCTGATTTTTAAAAAATTTTTTTTTAGAAATTGCCTGTCCAGATGATGAATTCAACTGGATATTTATTGCTGACTTTAATAAGGCATCTAGACCTAGCAAGGTAATCTTACTTATTACAGCATGTCGTGTTACAACTTATCATCATAATACTGTAACAAAATGTCAGTGCTGAAGGAATTTTAAGAACAGCTTTTTAATGGATGAAGTGAGTTGTTCCCTTGGAGTTGGAGTGCCGCCACCAAAAAAAGTTGGGGACAGCAGCAGTTTCTATAGCGCAAGGTCAAAAGTCTTTTCAGCGGCTTCTGCAGAACCCCCTTCCCTTCTTATTACCAACTGCATGTGGCTACAAGGAGGCAACGCGGCGTACTTTTCTTACGTTGAATTTACCCCGTGGGCATGTGTGTGCATTAAAACTCAGTGCAAACAGAAAGGTCTGCTGGGCAAAACACTTGCCGTGCTCAATTAAACTTCTGCTTGATCTGAGATTTCAAATCCTTTGGTAATAAGACTTCAGTACAAACCAACAGAAGGAGCCTGCCACTCTGCTGTAGATGCAGCGATGCATCTGGGACGTGCTCAGGAAAGACAAAGCTGGGGAATAACAACAGTTTTTGCAAGATTCACTAGGTGGTTGGCATTTCTAGTTGTTATCTATCCACTCGCACACTTTATTAACGTCTTTCCTCTAGTGATTTCTGAGCTTTTATGACAGTATATTTAGTAGGTGAGAGCAAAATGTGTCATTCGACCAGGCCTGTGGTTCTTTCATTAAAATTGCAGTGTGTCACTAGAACAATTTACAACAGTTTAAACAGATGATCAAAATCAAACAATGCTAAGTCACGTTGCTATCAACCTCACAAATGTGAAGGAGAAAAATCTTTACTAGGGAAGAAGCCAAAACAGGCTAAAAGGAGTATGACCGGGAATGGGGGGGTATGAACATTAAAGAGCTGACTGCCAGGGACTTGGCCTCATGCTGTAGTTCCTACTTTTAGAAGTGCAACCGAGATGAAGAAAGAAATCTCACAGAAGACTGCTGAGATTTCAGGGAGCAGGCACTGCTGCAATGCTATAGCAGCCTGGCTGTTTTATTTTAGCTAGTAGCTGTGGCCTCTACCTGCAACAGACAATTTGTGTGCTTTGTACCTTTCCTACCAAATAGCAGAGGATGGGAACCGTACGGCGATAATGCCGTCTGGGTTAGCAAGCCTCCGTTTCTTAGGCATCAGATTGGGTATGGGTAGCTTTGCTTTTTATCTATTACAGCTGTTCATCAAACGGCATGAAGCTTTGGATTGGATTCCTGTACGTGTTTACCCTTCAGCATACTGTGAAATCGAAAGCCTGGTAAAACGGTATTTCCAGCCTTTGCGCAGAGCTTGAGTCCCATGAAACATCTGCAATGCAGTTAGGATCTTTTCTTTCAGGCAGTGCTACAAGGGGATGCGAGGAATTTAAGGGTTTTAAAAATAATATTACAGCTCTCTTGGCCCCATTCTTAGCTCCTGCAGACAACAGCAGTATTGCCCTGTTGGTGATGGAGAACTCTACTGATTTACGTGAGCTGAGAACAAGGTGTGACACTTTTAATCATGAAAGAAAACAACCCAGCTCTCCGAATGTAACCTTTGCATGCATATTTACGGTGCTTTCCTTGTCATTATTTATACCATGAAAGCTTGTGATTACACAGGTCAAAAAGACTAAGCCACCTAAAAACATACAGGAAGGGGGCGGTGCTGCTTAACAAGCATGTGAATTTTAAGGAGGCTCTCTGCACCTCTGGAGATAAGAAATGCGTCAGTGGTGAAATGAAGTCTATCTGGATGGATTGTTGGCTATGTATATTGGGGCATCTGTAGACATTTTGGGGCATCTGTAGACATTTACGCCAGCTGCGAAACTGAACGTGTATATCTGAAATGACTCTCCTTCAATTTTAAGAGTAAATGACTTTCAAATGGGTGGAAAACCAAATCCAAACTATGCTGTTTTGTTTGTCCTTCCCTGCCAATGCAAGATTGTTTTTGTACTATACGCCATTTTGCGAGTGCTTGTCTCTAGTTAGTTCAAAAGCCCCAAGTGACAATCTCCCTGTCCAGCAAAAGCTTATTTCCCAATTTAACGCTTTTTTAGGTGGAATTTTCAAATGCAATCAGCATTGCTTTAACTTTGTTCTCCCTTCGTAAAGGCTGCAGAAGCCATTACATTTACAGGGAGCATGGTTAGACCAATGCTAGGCTCTGTATCCTTCACTGTTCAAAGCTCCTCTTGCTATAAAAACTAGATCTTCTTTTGTCCAGCTTCAAAATGTTACTGGCAATAGCCTGCAAAGCGGTTCCCTTCCCTGTCTATGGACTTACACCCCAGAACATTGGTGATTTCTTTTAAGACTGGTTCACACTCTACTTTTGAAAATGGTGCTGAGGGAGAAAGTTACAGTAGTGTCATAATAGGATCAAAGTTGCTTCTCACCTTACGTGTTAATCTTCTCTTTATCTCTCGCTTTTCCTCCTGCTCCTCTTGCTCATTCCGGGCTGTAAAAGATTCACAAGGATCTCAGGCTGTGGACTCATCAAGCATGCACAGTATGCAACAAAATAAGCCTCTCCATCAGTATATTAATGTTTCAGGACATCTCTGATGCACAGCATGGCCCTCTGGGCCTGGTGAACCTCCTCAATCCGTAGCTACTGCACTTCTTCATACACTTCATAAAACATCTACAGCCTCCTTCCTTTCCCTGTGCTGGCACCTCTTCATGTGTGTCATTTTCTCCAAGGGCCAGGCAGCGAGCCAGCTCTTCAGAAACTGTTCTCTTCCTGCCCACAGGCCTGGTGGCCTCACGGGGTTCAGCTATGATACGGCTGGATTCTGCAAGGCTGCAAGGTCAATGGTTGGAAAAGAAACACAGGCTTCCCCCCCGATCTACAGAATAATTTCTCTGCAGCTACTCTTTAGAGAGAATGGAAGGAAAACTCAGAGTAGGGATGCCAGGCAAAATCTCTAACTTCCCATGACCTGAGCAGAGGAAGGAGACAGTGTCCTTCTATCATGAGCTTTCACAGCATCGCACTAGAGCATAAAAGCATGTCCTAGGGCAATCCACTTTCAACATTAAGCCAAAAAATCACGTTACGAGCTCTTACCAGGCCAAGTCTCAATCATTATCCTTCAAGAGGACAACACCACTAACTCTTCTTCAGCTTAGGAGCAGGCTGTCATGCATGTCTTTGCATTGAACTTTACTAAAAGTCACTAAAAGCCCAGGTTTCTTGGTCCTCAGCTCCTCAATCCATTAGGATCTGTTTCCACTGCTTTGTTGATGACTGAATTGCTTCTTACATGCATAACAGGCAAGAGCAATACAACTGATCAGCTTTTCCTCCAAGTACCCTGTGTGCCCCTGATGTGATCCAGTTTTCACTCAGATAGGACTAGCTCAGGCAGGAATAACTCAATTCAGGGGAGATTATGGACCTCGAAGGCCAGTTTGGGAAAGGTGGCTCGATTTAAATTGTCCAACTTTGGATGGAATTTAACCCAAGGGGGAATCTCACGTTCCTCTCTGCTGATCCTATGGGAGAAGCAGGCATCCCTGGCAGTGGCAGTAACAAACCGCCAGCCCTAACTTCTTCAGCCAAGTGAGCACAAGGAAGCACTCCCACTAACCAACTGGGGCAAGCGAAAAATAACACAAGGAGATCCTAACCCAGTGGAAGTCTGCACATAGTGGAGGAGATGCAAAGTTTCAAACTAACAGATTCAAAATTGGTGCTTTTACCACGGAGAAATAAGACCTAAGGTTCAGAGATCACAGAAGTCTCTGAGCAGGTGAGGAGGGCTCGGCTGGAAGGCTGGTGTCTTGCTGCTCAGGACAGTAGAGCTGACAGGTCTACCATGACTGCTCACTGACTTAGGCAGGACTGGGAAATCTCCAAAGTGGAGAAAGAGCCCATCAATGTTACGATGTTTTACAATACGCTTCTGATCTTTAAATGCCATTTCACCAAAAATACCGCTTACATTTTCCAGAGGAAGGAAACTGATACTGGAGTAAAAAGAAGAGAAGACAGCAGGGAGTCACAAATGGCGTTTTAAATGATAACGGGAATACCTACACTGATAAATATATTTTTTTCCTCTTTCAGTGGTTCCTGTCTCTACTGGGCTGGATTCTTTTCTAGCAATTGCTCCTCTAGCAATTTTGTTCTTTTCTTTGTGTCTCAAATTTGGAGGAGCTGGTCCTGCAAATGCCTACTCTCAGAAACACAGCCACTAATAAATCCTTGTTAAAATTAAGCCAGAGAGACACGGCGTTAATCAGAGCCCACACAGAGTCAGGGTAGAACTGCAAGCAGCTGAGGAGTTATGTATAAAACTTAGTTACGGCCATTCATTTTGGTACTTGGCATATGATGCTTTCTTTTCTCCTCACCTCTTAGCCCAGCCACCCACCTTCAGAGACAGCCAGGTGGGCTGAAGACCTCGGTCAGGTAAAAGCTGGGAATTAGGCATACATTCTCCTCCGGAACTAGAAAGTGACTTTGTTTTAGCTATTTCTTTAAAGTTAATTAAGTCATGCCAATCTTGTGAAGCTACAGAACTGTTGCTGTATTTTATTTTATGTGCTTGGGAGATGCTCTGTTTCTCTAGACCTGTGTGCGTGAGGGTGGGTGGGTGTGGGTGAGATTTTCAAGCCTGATTTCTGTGCCAGTGCGAAATGTCCCCCAGCACAGTTGGAGACCCTCAGAGCCTACCAAACCATCATTTTTGTGAGGAATTTATGCAACACGGAATGTGCCCAGTTGACAACTGAACTACTTGTGTAAGTAAGTAGCATGGGGGTGGTGCATGAGGGGGACTGAGGCATCCTTCTTCATAAACTTGGCCAGCAAGTACTAACTGCAGAAAGTGGTCTTTAGTCTTCACACTAACCCTGCAGGTCTGAACTCCTCTCACAACGTGCCTCTGACTTAAATAAGAGTCAGTGAATTGGTTATATTTCACTGAAGCACCCTTCAAGCACCAGCGTCCTCATTCTCCATTTCTTTGTTGTGGCTGCTGTAATTTTACTGTTGCTACCAGCAAGTAGTGGAACTTGTGCAATGGATGCTTTGTTGTTGTAATTCAATAAAGATGACCATCTCATAATTATTGCAGCAGCATGGTGCTAGGAAGTGATCCCTTCATGTATAAAGACTGGCTGCCCAACCACATTTTGCCTCATTTCTCCCCATCAGAACAGGCAATAATGCAGTTACCCATGTAACAGGAACATCATGGTACCAGACATGACATTTGCATCAAGGAGATTTCAGCTTTAACTGCAGAGGAAAACCTATTTAGTATACTTGGGACCTTGATGAGTTTTCTTTTTTTGTGTGTGTTTGCGCTCTGAACTGGGCTTTTGCAAATCGCTTGACCTTCTTATGCAGAGAATTAACACTCTTTTCATTATTGCTTTCTATGTCTCCTTTTCTCTAGGCGCCATTAGATTTATTATAATTCTCCTTCCCAGAAATCTAGGGAAAGGAAACAGTGATGTACAACCCAGACACTATTTATTTTTACTTGTTTAAGGGTGGAGCATTTTTATGCTTTCTTTTTTTTTAATTATGTCACTGTTTTAATTGTTTGTTCCTTTCCCACTGTGCTTCACCAAAAGTTGGGATGCCTTGGAAATACCACATTACTTTTTCCTGTAACTATGAAGTTGTTTGTCTACCAAGACACACATGTTTTGGGGCAGATCTGTGCTTAGGAACCAAGCTACAAAAATTCCATTTAGGAACTACAATATAGTTCTGTATTCAGGGTAATATTTTCAAACACATCCATGTCATTTAAGAGCCTTTATTCAATTCAAAAAGAAACTAATGTGACTTGGGGGATAATTCCTCTGAAATGTTAGACATCTTCAGGTCGCTACGTGACTGCTGCGCTTGGCAGTGCAACCTTTAAGAATCTCTGCAAGGCACCCAGCGTTGGAGATGCTGCCTCTCTGCTGATGCTGGTGCAAACACTGCTGCCAAAGCAGCTGCCCGAGACTCCCACCTCCCTCCAGCCACCCTCACCAGTGTTTACTGGTCACGCACCAGTGCCAGGTGGTGCATGATACATGTTGGGTCATGCTGGTGGCAAGTCCCGGGATGACAACATGAGCTGGTCAGAGAATTGGCCTCTGTCCCTCCTTGCCTGAGCCTGGCATCAGTCACGTTGCAGGTTCCCCCTCCTCCAGCTGTTCTGCTACCCACTCCGTGAGACAATCACATCTGGATCTGCCAGCTATTTCCCCAGTTTCTGCCCCTTTCTCCAGCTGCCAGGTATGTGAGTTAGGAGTAGACGGTAGGAGCACAGCCATCCAAAGGGGGCTTACCCCCCAAAAATGGCTTTCCTGGCAGCCTCGGACTCAACCACACTGCTCTGCTGTCCGGTCTTTCCTCCTCTTTGCATTGACAGTGGAGGCTCTCTCCTTCTCTTTGTCTGCCACACATAATAACATGAATAGATGAAAAAACCCCGCTGAGCGTTAACACTATCATTAACTTGCTAGGAATTTGATTTTGAAATATTTAATCAATCAATTCTGCTAATTTTCAGAGAATTGATCTTCTGATACCACATTTTTATGGTTCTGTACAATGCAGTTATTTGAACAACAAGAGAAAGTAAATTATGGACCTGGCTAAGAAGACACTATGGTATTTTAAGGTAGCATTTAGGAATATTTTTTTCTGCAGTCTTTTTTTTTAAATTTCCCTGGAATGATGGATTTACTACCTTAAAAAGAGAAGAACTTGTTTCTTTCATATTCTGTTTCCAAAGTAACAACAATTAGATAAACAGGGTTTTTTTTAATATTCAAACCACTTCAATGTGAGTAAAGAAACTTTCATTTTTTTCCTATTCATTCATGAGATTATGGGATTCATGCTAGACCCAATCCTGCTTCCCTTGAAACTGGTGGCAATGTATCTACTAACTTAACTCAGATCAGGGTCTCTAAATAGTATTTTGTCCCTTTAAAATATCATTTCACATTTTGAAGTTCTACCAGGTAGTTTTTGGCTGATATAAAGGAAGAGTTTCAGGGGAACATTTCAGGGAAATAATCCCAAGTCACATTGGTTTCTTTTTTTAATTGAATAAAGGCTCCACCTAGTCTAGGTTGCTGTAAAGATTTTTAGGAAAACTAATCAAGCCATGCCCTAATGCCTTTAATAACTTATAACGGGATGCTCATCTATGTAAAAGATGCTTAAAGGTGAACCGCTGTTTGGAACAGAACTTGCAAAAGAGATTCAACATCTGGGGTTTTTTTCCCCCACAGACCGTTCATTCTTGTGAAGTTACTGACTCTGATTTTAAAGAACTGTTTCTGCAGCTCTAGATGTTGCTACAGACTTGCACACTTCTTTGCATTTATGATGCACTTTATCGTTATTAATGATACGAGCACAGAACAGTTTATGGTTTATAAAAAACACACCCAATATATATCTAAACTAACCCAAACTAGCTGGCTTCAGGTTAAACGTCAGCAGTATCGGGACTTACGTTTCAGAATGTTCCTCTGCTCCAATTCTTCAGCAGTCGGCCTCTGGCTCAGTCGTCTGCGAAAAAAGTCCAAGATCAGTTTTTGGACCATATCACATTCTCCTCAGTTGTCTGTCTTGAAGAGTTATTTTGGGGTGTGAAAGGCAGAGCAGAAAGCACTGACACTGCTCCATTATGTACTCGGTACACCCAGACCATGCGTGACACAGACCATGCTTCGCTTTCGCAGTTTCCTCTGTTTTCAACTCACGAAAGACAAAATACGTTATGTCATCTTAGGCATGACTCTCCCACCCCTACCCCAGGCAGAGCTGCTGAAAGCTAAGCTACACAGATGTCTCCACTTAATTTCCTTCCTCCCATGCCTGCTTCCTGACTCGTGCAAGTATTTCTAGCTAAGACCCAGCTAACCCTCTCGCTGCCCTCTCGCCAGCCTCCCGACTGCGCCCCGTGGGTTCAAACAGCATTTGAACACACAGACAGTCCACAGAAAAAACAAGGGACGGTTTGGCAGTGCCGAGGGCAGAACAATAGCAGCCCTCCTCCTCCACACACTCACGTCCCTCCTCCTCTTGTGGCTTTTATTAAATCTTATATTGAAGGATCAGTGTGACTTGCTAGTCAACCTGTACGTAATAGGGTCACAGCAAACGCAATCTAATTAAAAATGGGGGCCCTGAGCGTGGAAATGGTCTGAATATTCAGAATACAAAGCAAGGGAGAGAAGCACAAAGGGGTCTTTGGAAAACAAAGTAAACCAGGGAGATGACATCAGATATCAACACTGTTGGGCCTCCTCATGCTGTCCTCTGAGTCAATGGGAGTTTTGTCAACGATGCCAGTGACAGGACAGAACCTCCTCTTCCTTCAGACGTGGTCATTCAGAGCCGTTCCCAACTTGGGGGCCCCAGTCTCTGCCACTTGGCTCATCAGTTCCCACGTGAGGTTCCGGGTACCGATAAGAAACATGATATGAACGCTGTCTGCATGGCTTCATCTTCTGCAATGAACCTTTCCCCTGACCCGGGGCACAGAAGCTCACTGAAATGGGGCTGTCTCTGGAAGGCTGGATGAGGGATGTCTGACAACGGCTCCTCACAACACGGGCTGATGCACACACATCCCCAGCCTTCTCCAGAGCCAGGGGTCCACCTGTGCACCCGTTCAATACCCCTGTCCCTCATATCGTGCACGGTGCACAGGGCTGAAGCGCATGGGGTGGGTAGGAGCCCACCTGCTACACTACCTGTATGAAGGCAGAAGCGCTACAGGCATCTGATTTCACATAGCCTGAAGATTTCCACCAGCAGAGGTGAGAGCAGCCATACGTCCTGTGGGGCCACTTTACACCACAAAAATAAAACAGCAGAACACAGCCCTATTCCAGTGGAGAATCTGAAGTCATTAGCTTTGTCTCTTTGCCATGGCAGATTGAACACTCATCTCATTGGAAAAGTGTTGAAAGGGACAGAAACTCATCCTTAATTCAGAAGTAAAGAATGTCTGCAAAGTACTTTGAAGACAGAAAGTGCTATTCAAGTGCTTGCTATTACCATCTTTAAGATACAGTAGCTGTTGCTAATGGAAGACTTCACCTTAAGACTATGAAGCAATTAAAACTACTTTATTTCTAGCAGTGCATGAGAATCAAAGAGAAAAAGCTGCCACTCTTAGCCCCACCGTGTGTGTCTGCAGGAATTGAGTTATAAAATGTTTTCAATCCACTGCGCTGTGATGCTTTTCAAGAGGATGCATCAGAGGGATGTTAAGGACAGACTCCAGCCATCCAGTGTGTGGCTGCTTCTATAGAAACAAGCATCACACAACACATAAAAGGAGAAATTAGTGTGAAGAGAATGCTCCCCAAAAGGTCCTCCTCTTTCCAAGAAAACGGGGATTGAAGAACTCAGCTAACAGTTCTGTCAAGAACAGTTCACACTGGAGCATTTCTAACAAAAGGCAGAAGTTATATCTATCTACACAGGTGCAGAGTGCTCCTGCCTAAATGATGACCACCATTTTCAAGCGATGAACTTACGTGGCAGAAAAAGCCATGACACTTTTGTTAGATTCAGTCTGGAGATCTCAAGCTATCTGCATTCATGGGTTGTTGATTGCTTCTGGACTCTTACAAACCTCAGAATTTTTAATAGCAAGACTTAGGCAGTAGGAAAAGATAAGGTACCCTTGTAGTGGAACAAAATCATGCCTAGTCCTTACAGTGCAAGCAGTGAAGCACAGCTGGAGGATGAAGAAGGTAATGAATAGGAGCTGTGGAGGTTCCTGGCCTCTAGTACCAGTGTCTGCTTTCATCTCCATGAACTGCTGTTAATCCCCATTTCCATCATCCTCTTGGACTCCCTGAGCCTGCTCCTGCTCCCTCGTTGTGAGTCCCTCCTTGATGAGCTCTTCAAAAAACCCAGCCCCTTCCCCAGTCCTTCCCTTCCAAGACCTCACAATTATCTTGTTTCTTGGTCTCTTGTTCTTTTAATTTCATTTCTTCTCTTCCTGCTACAATGACTTCTGCCCCCAAACTATCTTTGGGCTTTACTAACAACTCCAGCAGCTCCTCAGAAGAGCATTATTTTAGTTCCTTTTTCTTGCCTCTTAACTTCTAGGTTTGCCAGATGTTGAACAGCTGTTAACGTTACCATTTTTCAAAATCTTGATACTAGTTACAGATCTTGTAAATCAAGAAATGTAAGCAGTTATTGTTTTGTTACCATGGCTGCAAAGATACAGGTTTTTTTCACACCAAATTTCAGTATACCATCTCCTGTGTGCTCTGATCTTGGCAAACACTGGGCATGATACCTCCCCCCTTCTACCTTCCCTCCTGTGCTGCCCAGAATAAGAAAATATTAATGAAGCCCACCTAGCTTGCAGAGGTTGATTTCAGTGGTTTGATTGCTGGATTGCTGCTGTGCCTTATCGCATTTAACATCACAGGGGCTGCATGAGGCTGTCAAGAGGCCGGAGGTCAGGAAACAACTGTCTCATTAGCAGCACAATCAGAATAAACAGGAGAAAATGGAGATGAGGAAGGAACGTGGTGCAACAGCAAAGAACAGACCTGCTTCTGAAAACTGTGAGAATTGAGTGGGATGTGCGGCGCTACTGTTGATCAGAAAGGTAACTCCGGCTGTTTCATGGAGCTGTACGAGCATGGATGGGTGTCTAGCCAAGGAACAGGCAAGGCAGGCTTTAAAAAGTACAAACCTTTAACAGCACTTTCTGTGTCTAAAATCTCTTGTGTGAACATGCTTGACTTCCACTGTGCCATTCATGCAGTTTTGCAATAAGCTTCAGGCATTCAAGGGGATAGGGAAGTTTATTTTTTGTAATTTGTGCTTTGCAATGTATTGCCTGGTTTATACTTCGTATGTTTTTGCAATATTGTTAATAGTGGTTTTGTTAATACACTGACAAAGGTTTTACTACAAAGAAACCTTACTAAGATTTATGGTGACATTAAGGAAGCCTTGCTAGGATTTCACTGAAAAAATAGTATCCAAATGAGATGATTGCCAGTGAAAAATAAAACAGTTTGCTCACATTTACAAAGATAAACTTGACAGCAAACCAATTTTCTGAATTAATTCCCTGCATGATCAAAATGCACCACAGTCCTTGTGCTAGAACTATACAACAAGACCTGAGCAGCTCTTCGTAAGGACATTATGTGGTGGGGGTTTTTGTTTGGGTTTTGGGTTTTTATGGTTTTGGTTTTTGTTTTTTTTTTTAATTTGCTCTGGGCTAGGCACATCATGGTGGATGAGAAGGAGTTTGGGGGCAGGAGGGACAATCATGCAAAATCAATTGCTGTAGACATAAAATATTGGCTGGTGGGGGGTGTAATCTCTTCAGGGACCCAGAGGAAAGAAAGGCTGCATTTTCACTGATGGATGCTACTGCTTGGTGCCTGTCCAGCAAACTGAGAACTCAGAATGGGAAGTTTCTGCTCCATGTGGCAGCATCCTGCAGGAGCAATAAAAGGAAAAACTGGCTGTACATCTTCCCAGGCAATATAAAACACTTAAATGAAGAGCCTACACAGTGATGCTTACCCTGCTGTGTAGTGTGGCCATACCCAGAGGACTCTCAGGACAGTGGCCAACTAGCTGTGGGGCTGAGGGTCAGATTGTTGCAGCCCTTCTGGCTGGTACCACCTTTGAAGCAAGGTGCTCCTGGCTGCCTAGGCTGTCCTGTCCTAGGAGTTATGGGTTTTCTCTCCTTCATCTCTTGTTTTGTTGTGGATGAGCTCTGAGAAAGAGCAGGTCAATGCATAACATTGTTATATGAACAGGATGGTGCTGGATATGCTTTCTGGGTACCAGGAATTCATCTTTGCCTCTGCCCAGAGGACAATAAAATTTAAGAGCTTAGTATGGGGTCATCCGTAAGTATAATGGCTGTATATAGTACAGGGCTTGTTGGAAAATGATGCCCCGTATACTTGCCAGGCTTATTAACTCTCAGTGTTTGCAGATACAAGAGGCAGAACCCAGCAGCTCTCCAGTGCTTCAATGGTGACATCTGGTACACGTGACCCAAGAGCAGGACTGATGGGCAAACAGGTCACGGGTGGTCACAACAGGCCACGCAGCAGTATGGTGAGGTGTCCAGAACATCACCAAAACATGTCTGAGCACAGGCACGCTCACACAGCTATTCCTAATGACTTAAGTCACCCTGATGTAAAATAACTTTTGAGCACAGCGGGGTATAACCTCTGGAGCAACTCCTGAATTTATTCTGTAGATGCAAATGTTTTTACTCAGTTGCAAGTGTGTTCATACCACCCTAGAGCTTGCTCTAAGAGAGGAGTAAATCTGACCTGGGCACATGAGAAGCCAGCTGCTACAAAGAATTACTTGTCACATCGCTCTTTAGTTGACATCATAAATGAGCATGACCAAAGCCAGTAGAACTGCGCTGATTTACATCAGCTATATAATTCGACATGAGGAAAATTCAATGGGAGTAAAGAGTCTTACTGTTGCTTAATTTAGCTTGCCTTGCCCTGTAATAATGCTGATAGCAAAGCAATATGGAT